GTTGCAATGTGCTAAATGCTGGCGCGTTGGATACAGCACTAAAGGTTGTCGATCGGAGAATCGATGCCGCATATGCGGGGCCATATACGGTGCTGGTCATAGTTCTGCTGAGTGCCAATCAGACAATAAGACATGCTGTTTGTGCGAGGCGAATCACGCTGCAGACGATCCTAACTGCCCTGCAAGATCAAAGGAACTTCAGGTGATTGAAATCATTGAAAAGAGACGATGCTCTCGTAGAGAAGCAGTGGCAGAAATTGAAAACAGGAATCAAGGTTATGACAGTTTAGCAGCTCATCCACCTCTTGCTATGAATGCATCACTTTCTCAGTCCATTTCAGCTATAGTAGAAAAGCCCGTAGAAAAAGTATTAGAAAAGTTTTTACTCACTCTGTCTGACTCACTCAATAATATTATGAATTCACAAATGTCGGGCGTATCTTATCGGATAATTAAGCGTATCCAACCTCCTAGTGCTTCAATCAATAAGCCTGCCGAACATCAGTCAGATGCCTCTATTGATAATGAGGTAAGGCTTTCCCGATCTAACACAACTGAGCAGGAAGGTGTATCTGATTCAGAATCAATAAGTAGTCGGGCTGTAGATATGGACGCTCGCCTTTTGAAACGCACCAGACCATCTACAAGCAAACTTAATAATTCCTCTCATCCAAAAGCAAAGAAAAGTGCGAAGAATCCTAGGACTAATGTGGACTTCTTAAAAGACAGTATTTTAGATCAAACAGGTGCTACTACTTGCTTGTCATCATAGGGTGCCTTAGAGTACTTCAATGGAACTCCCGTTTATATTTTTCTGCAACTATAGACTTATTATACCTAATTTCTCATCAATCTCCAGACCTCATAATGCTACAAGAAACTTGGCTGTCGGCTGATCAAGACTTATATCTAGAAAAAAAAACTATCATTGATTTCGACTGGACAGAGACTCACGTGGTGGAATAATATTTTTTATTTCATCCCAAATTTGTTATAAAGCACACTTAGTTTGAAACGAATATCACACAATTATGAAGTATTGGTTCTGGAAATTCACTTTCCCGGATTGGCGCCACTATTTGTAGTCAACAACTACTTTTCAGCTGGGCTACAAGATGAAATATCCCTGGTTGCGACTGTGAGTTTTTGCAGAAGCAGTATACTATTTGCGGGAGACTTCAATTCCCATCGAATGTCGTGGGGATTCCACACTGATTCATCTGGAAAACGGTTGTGAGACTGGACTAGTCGGAATAACCTTATTTGTTTGAATTCCAGAGTTCCCACATTCGTTCGATGTACTTCGAGGTCTGTCTTAGATTTGACATTTGCTAGCTCAAATGTGACAATATCGTCTTGCACTGTTCTGGATACCGCAAAAAGTAGTGATCACTGCCCCCTGGCATTTGAAGTGAGCATTTCTTTAGTGACGGTAGATCGCCAGGTGCAAAGTTTTGTAAACTACTCTAAATTTAAAAAGAATTTACAGTCAACGTTGCCTTCCTTGCCCAATATTAAATCAAATATGAAAGCTATGAGCCTTTGTTTCGCTCTAAAGTGTACAATTAACAAGTCACAGTTCAGTATATAATCAACAAAAGGAAAATTCATATCTGCCCGGTATAATCTGGACTGTGCCACAGATTATAGATATCGAAAAGCTGAATGGAAAAAACTTCTTACCAAGCAATGTCCGACTAATTGGAGAAATTATTTATTTGCTAAAGCTACGTTTAAGAGAACAGTTTTATTAGCAAAAGACGATTATGAAGAAAAACGGTATAGCTATCTGTCCAAAAGCGGCAACAAGAAAGCTCTATTCAGATTTCTCCGTAATCGTAAAGATAGTACAGCAGCCGTAAATATTGACTCAGTTATTTTTTCTCCAACTGAGTTGGAAGATACAATAACTGAAATCACATTATAATTACAAATTGACATCACAAATTAAAATACAGTTTGCAAAACCTTTATTCGGAAATGATTTTATCGAAGTAAGTAAGGATGAACATGCGCACGTCGTTCGTATTCTGCCAAACACAGGTCCTGGACCAGATGGCGTCACTTGAGAAATGTTAAAAGTATTATTCGACATCTCTCCTGAAGACCTCCTTAACGTTGTCAACTATTCACTTGAAAATAGTTGGATACCTCCTCACCGGAGACTTGCAAAAATAATACCGCTTCTTAAAAAACAGGGACTAGGAATGCAGTTAGATAACATTAGGCCAATCGCTTTAACATCACGTGTAGTCAAGTAAATAGAAAGAATACTTTACATTACAGTTACGAAGTTCATAACAAATAATGCAATACTCAGTGCGTGCCAGATTGGATTTAGACCAGGTTACTCTTTATGGTGGGCGCACGTTGATTTAGAGGCTCGTATAAAGTTTGCACGCCACAGACGACAATATGCGGCCCTAGTAACCCTTGATTTAGCCAAGGCATATGATAGTGTTGAACATCCTATTCTTATCAATGCCCTAAAAAAGCTAACGCTCCCACAGTACATAATAAATTGGAGATACGAATTTTTAAAAGACAGAAAATTTTATTGCTTCCAACGAGGTGTTTCCACACCGAAGTGTAGCCAAACGAGAGGTGTCCCTGAAGGCTCTGTTCTATCGCCTGTGCTATTTAACATTTTGTTAAGGTCAATACCACTGAGTGATAAGGTACAAGTATATGTGTATGCAGATGATATTGCGTTTTTTGCATGTGACTGTGATACTCATTTACTACATGCGACATTACAGTGTTATTCGGCAACATTGGAAACCTGGTTTCGGAAAATTCATATGAACCTGAACGTAGCTAAAAGTGCTATAATAGTTTTTCCATTGGACGTACCAGTTACTATTTCTCTTCAGTACCATCAAGAAATAATTCCCCAGGTTAACTGTATTATATATCTGGGTGTATTGTACAATCAAAAACTGAGCTGGCGTGATAACATTGACCATATTAAAATTAAGGCTACACGCGCTGTTGGGATGATAGGTAGGCTTGGCCACCTGCGTTCCGGTCTTCGCTGAGATACGCTGATTATGATTTATCGCATGTGCATTCGTCCAATTCTAGAATTTGAATGTGTACTATTCTCTTGTGGACCAGCATACGAAATAAACCCCTTTATTTTTTTAGAGCGGGAAGCTTTTCGAAGTTGTTTAGGTGTGCCAAAATTCACAGCTAACAATGTTTTGTATCAAGGAGCTCGGATACCCACCCTTGCTTGCAGATTCCGTATTTTAACAGTCAAAACCGATTTAAAATTTTCTGAAGCCACTTTAAGAAAGCGACAGTTTGTATTCTTTGCCGAGCCTGGTGTCTTTCTCAATGAGCATTGGTGCCATGTATATAAACCCCAAGTGCTATTTGTTCAAACACTTCTAGATGCTTTAAATGCTAACATATTCGAGATCACACCATCTGACAAACCAATCGGCCAAGTGCAACTAAAATTTGACGATATCTTACCCATGAATGGTAAACACTTGCCCTCTAAATATTTCATTGGTTTATTAGAACAACACCTGTCTCAATTGGGTACTAATATAGTAATTGCAACAGACGCATCTATGAGTGGCGAGAAGTAAGGTGTGGGTATTTTTTCTCTCTGATTATTCTGGTCATTTTCATTACACCTCCCAGATTATACACCAATATTTGAAGCGGAATTAATGGCCGTTATACTAGCTATTCGTAAACTTTCTGCGACTCATTCGACAGCTGTGATTCTGACTGACTCGTATTCTGTGCGTTCATTTTTATTATCGTCGTCGGCATCAGCAGTACTTGAAACTTTTAAATTATTAATACCAGCAAACATTCGTCTAGTGTGAATGATATGAGTGCGAGGCCGTCGTAGTATATTTATAAATGAGATGGCTGACACACTCGAGCGAACATCCGTTGATCTTCCGATTGTACCCTTCATGCCTCCTACAGCTTATGTAACAGCAGCGAGGTTTAGAAAACTTTCTCTTCTTGAAGACTCATCAAAGTGACGATACTGAATCCAGATTTCTCGCACCTGCACTTCACATGGAATAATAAATAGTATCCCACGCGTAAATTGGAAGTCTCTATAACAAAATTACGTTGCCGTGTACCATGTCTTAATTTCTACTTAAACAGGTCTGGTCTGGTGCCATCCCCTCTGTGCTCAAGCTGTAATGAACCTGAACATATCGACCATTTTCTTATCACAAGTCACCGTTTCAAAAATCAAAGAAAAAATTGCTTCGAAATTTTATTTTAAAAACTAGGAATATCACTTACTGCTCCTAATATTTTATCTTTCGGGGCCGCTTCATTTGGACACGGCGACAGGAACATCTGCGCGGCTCTCTGCGAATTCCTATATAACACCTTGCTGAGCCATTAATCATTACCTTGCTGAGCCATTAATCAGCTCTCGAATTTCACTAGCCAATCTACCATTTATTATTTAGCTGTTACAGTGCTATGATTTAACCTTCAGAAGAATTTCATATAACCATTACACCTCAGATATTCAACAATTTCCATTATTTCTTTCCTCCTCCCCCCTTTTTTACATTGCGCCAAACTAATTTTACAGTCAAAACAAAGTAATCCTTATTCCCCTAGTCTAGAAAACCTGAAGGTTATGCATTAACCACCGGCTTTTTGGCCAATCCCCCTTAGTGGGTGAGAGCCACAAAGGAAAGGATCAAGCAAGCAAGCAAGATCCCATCAGTATTTCTTCGAAATTATAAATTTTGTAAAAAGTTATTGTGCCATTTTTACGATTTCGGGAGCCTAAAGCAGTGTTTTGTCCGCTTATTTATAGCACCTATAACCCTGTTTTTAGAACTTCTAAATCCGGCCTCTAGTAATGACATACATCAAATTAGGTTACATAATGCTAATTACAAAATACATGTCTAAGTACTTTCGTAAAATAGCACTAAATACCAATTCTCAAATCAAAATTGTTTCGTTGGTAACTAATGCTAATCACTTTTCACCGGCAGATATTTCAAGCGTTTGAAAATCCCATTGGAATGATTGACACCAACAACGACTCTGTCCTGGAGTGCCTCTCCGCGCGTAGAGCCGAGATTGACCCCGAGACACAGACTGCTACGTACGTGTGGTCACTGGCCGGAGATGACGGAAAAGGAAGGTACGTGGCCTTCAGGAGGCATGCAGTGTTATATTTTAAGAACACAGTGTATACGATGTTAATCCTGGGAAAATTAAGGGAAAGTTCAACTAAAGTTTAGCACATAATCTGCCAATATATACCACAGTGAGCTCATCGCTGAGTATGAAAGTATTCCTTACCTGTTTGAGGATAAAAAAATTATAAATCGCAGCATATCCACGAAGCGAATGATGTTCAGTGGGGCGAAACATCGAAAGGTTTTATCGATAAACCATGAATCATCTGCTGACCATGTTCACCCGTCCGTCCGTCCTTCTGCCTGTCTGTCCATTCATCCGTCTATATTACTGTCCATCTTACGTGTGTATGTCTGTCCGTCCATCTGTCTGCTTGCATGTCCATTCTTCCGTCTGTCCTTCCATTCGTCTGGGTGTCTGTGTGTTTGTCTATGCGTCCGTCCATTCATTTGTCTACCTTTCTGTCTGTCTGTCCATCTGTCCATGCGTCTGTCTGTCTCTCTGTATGTGTGTCTGTCCGTTTTGTCTGTCTCTGTCTGTCTGTCCGTCCATCCGTCTACTTTTCTGCCTGTCCCTGTCTATCCGTCTATCCGTCTGTCTGTCTGTCTGTCTGTCCGTCTGTCTGTCTGTCTGTCTGTCTGTCCGTTTATCCGTCTATCCGTCTGTCCGTCTGTCCGTCTGTCCGTCTGTCTGTCTGTCCGTCTGTCTGTCTATCTGTCTGTCCGTCTGTCTGTCTGTCTGTCTGTCCGTCCGTCTGTCCGTCTATTCATCTGTCTGTCTGTCCGTCTGTCCGACTGTCTGTCCGTCTGTCCGTCTATCCGTCTGTCTATTCGTCTGTCTGTCTGTCTGTCTGTCTGTCTCTTCATCCATTCATCCATCCGTCCGTCCGTCTATCCGTCCACTCATCTGTTCACATGTCCGTCTGTCTCTATCTGTCCGTCTGTCCATCCGTCCATTCGTTCACCCAGTAAACACTCCAAGTACCGCCATCTCGCGTCTTTTCATCATATATGCATTATATACAAGTACTGCCATCCAGCGGACAATCCAAGGAGTAAAACGGGAGGCCGTTACTACGTACAGGAGACGCACGACCCATGCATTAAGCAGCTTTGTCCCTAAAAAGCAGAAACGTGTGTTTTGCGCCGAGACACTTTTCAACATGTTCGTGTAGCAAAGAAGTTGGTCGCGCCATTAGCATTACCATAGCCTCCTATATTTTTCCTGCCTGCCGGATGACTGCTAAACGCCTGTTCTATGGCTGCGCCACCTACGTAAGATAAAAGGTCTTTGTACTTAGCCTTTCAGATAGGCAACTTTGGCGTTTGCTAACTTCAAAGGATACCTTGTATTGAAGCGGTTTCCTGCTGAATGAGCGCGAAACGCCCATCATCTATGGTGGCATCGCTTACGTAGGGCTCATTAAAAATATTTATAGTTGCTTTTACGTCTTTCTAAAACTTTTTACGTTATTTTCGTAGCATATAAGCTCCAGAAACGCAAAAACGTATTTGAAGACAACCCTACTTAAGTGGCGCCACCACCGCAGTTCTGACGACGGCCACTTCCCAAGTGACCACCTATAATCCGGCAGGCAAGGTAAATCCAGGAGGCTGTGGCATTCGTGTTGTTTAGACAACCCTTTTCCGGAAAGCCAACAACTTATTGCTGAACAGCACGCTGTGTTGCGTGAGCTGGCGCATCATTACTTGAATTCTGGCTTTGATTTTGTCTTTCTTGGTTATTTTCAGTTCTGATTTGATATGTGGGTTTTAGCGTCCCAAAATCGCCATATGATTATGAGAGAGGCCATAGTAGAGGGTTCTTGAACGTGCACTCTAGTCGCAGCACACGTGCCTAGAGAATTTTTGCCTCATTCGAAAATGCAGCCGCTGCAGCCAGGATTTTATCTCGTGACCTACGTGTCATCAGCCGAGTACTTTAGCCTGTAGACCACCTCGACTGGGCGTTATTTTCACTTCTAACTTTCTGCTACGTGTTTCAAGTCTTTTATAGTTAACGTGGCGTTGCCACCGCGAATGCAGTACTGAATCTAGAGTCAAGGGGTCATGATTTGACGAAGGCAGTTATCGGCGAGTCCAAACTTAAACTCTTGTTGGACGAACTTTTTGGACAAACTCCAACTACCGCAAGCAATGCCCGCAGTACACCGATATCGGCGAACAGAGCACGGCCGTCATTAAAGTGACAAGCGGTGAAGCCAGAAAAGAGTGTCGAGTTTCAAATATGTGCTCTGGAAGATTCCTGCGTTATCACTGGTGGCTGCGTAAACTATATAAAAAAATTGGCTATTCACGTCCTACGCGCAACCTTAACGCAAGGATCTGAAATATTGCTGCGCGGTCTGCGGGGGGCGTTGCAAACTGTATTCGCAGGTAAAGCCCAATCATGTCAATATAACAGGCATGACAATAGAACACCCGAATGAATAAAGAACACAATTACTCTAGCGTGAAGGTTTGCATATGTACTCAGGCGTCTACTAATATTAACATACTTTTCGCTAGAGCAAACGGAAATTGAATGGCAATAGTGTCCCACACATGCGGCCGTAAAGAACTGCAATTCCACGTTTCTTATTCTGTTTTGTCCGCCATTGGCGCTTCCTGATTGGTCGTTCAACCTGTCAGTCTATAGTGACGTGTCGGAAGCCCAAATTGTGGTGACTTGAAAATTACGAGCACGCGCTTAATATGAAAAATTAAACTCTCCCTGATTGGTCGTTCAACCTTTCAGTCAAGTGATCAGTCGGAAGCCCAAATTGTGGTGACGTCAAAATGACGAGAACAGGCTTATTATGCAAAAAAAAACGGAATCGGTTCCGCGTGGGCAAAACAGCCAGCGAGAGGGCCCGTTAGAGACAGTGACAGCTTTACTACGCTGTCTGGACATGAAAAAAAAAAAAAACGGCGGGCCTAAAGTGTTTTGGACTTCTGTATTAGTAGAGGGTTCATTATATTTTTTCGAAGATCACTATTCTTGTTTAACGATCATTGGTGAGCGGAGATCGTGCAGACAAGTCTGACAGTCGAAATGCGCTTCTGTCAAGCAAATAGGATGTGCTCAAATGTCTCTGTAGATGAAAGGAAACTTTGGCTAATTACGCTGTAGGCTAAAAGAAATTCTGGTGTCCTTAAAAGTGTCCAGCCAAGCCATTCACGAATGCACTTGTACATGACCACCATGAATTCAACCTACATATGGAGATCAACGGTAACGCACAATGTTCAGTCACATTTTTCTGTTACAACGACAGTCAGCTCACGTACTGAAGCCCATCCACAGTGTCAAAAGCTGCGTAAGCGTGCGAATATTCTGAAATATCGAGAGACGCGTTGCATAGCGCTTTGTTCGATTGAAACAGGGGACGCTGGAAATACAAAACAATTCGCAACTGTATTTCGGAGATTCCGCACTGAGAGACATACTCTTTGGTGCAAGGCGTCATTTTTTTTTATTCTGTGAATTAGTAAATTGCATGCAGCCTAAGCTTTTACGACACAATTGACGCTACGTTGATAACTAGATTAAAGTGCTTTTTTCTTTGAGAGAGAGAGAGAAAAAAAAAGTAGTCAGGGAAGGCAGCGACAATTACCAGATGATGAATGTTCACTTTGCTATCCTGCTCATTAAAATGGGTAAGTGGTCACAGAATAAATGAATAAATTGAACCTTTTTTTTAAGAAGACTGCTATCGGATGCAGCTTAATAGCTGAAGAAGGGATAATTGCGTGCAAAATGCAAGCATGTTCAGCTAACATCAGTTCATAATAATCTACATTTAGTACAGGTTCAATGAAATCACTCTCGTGCTCGATGGTCCACATCTTCCACAGCGCCCAAAAGAGGTCGCCTATACTAGCATAGGTCGCAAGTGTTTTTTTCGTACTTCATCATTAGATTGTGGCAAAACGCATAAGCTTCTGATGTGTTCGCGTGTCAACTGCTGTATGAGCGTTCTTCTTCGCTATAGCACAGAGCAAACCCGAATGAGGAGATGTAAATTTGCTCTGCGTAATTCTTCACAACGTGGGCACCGAGGAGAAGTGTAAGAAATTGCTTCTCTGGCTCCAATACCTTTGTCAAGTACATGAGGAATGCTTCATTGGCCATAAGCATGTTAAGAAATATCTCTTGCTAGCGAGTGTCCGCTCTTGTCGCCTAATAAAAGTGCTTGTGTAGCTTATAGTACCCTTCGTTTAGTGTTGCTGACCAATTTTACCGAAATGTAGTCCAAAAATTGTCTCTTTGAAGAGCCTTCACGCTACATTTTTTTGATAAGTATTGGGGAAGTCCCCAAGTTTGGTAACGAAGTGGGGTGCTGGGTGCTGAATGAATAGTAAGTAATAATGACGTATATATATGATAAGTAGCAACACATACGCGGCATTGTCATAATCATTCAACAAGATACCTTGCAGAAACTTCAGCAACGTCTTTGTCAATTTACTGTGTCAATCTCAAAGCTTTCCGGCAGTCCAAGAAAAATAGCAGGGAAAGCGGCCGGTCATCGAAGGCGCTAACACTGCTGGAGTGCACTGGAATTAACGCACCTCTGTAACATCGCAACTACTCAGCAGGAGTGGCATTGGTTGGCACGTGTGTCTTCAGAGATTTCAGAAATGTCAGAACATCTTTACATTTTTCGCTCATCTCATCGCTCACGTAAAGTTTCAAACTTATCAAAATGAAATCACTATAGGCACCAATACACGCAGGTTGTTTTTAAAAACAGTGAGAATGCAAGAGTGGAGGAGGCGTTTGACATTATAAAAATGGATCTCGGCAGCATGAGGTCTTCACAATTGGTGAAAGGCTTCAGAACAACCTAAGAGAGGTGATATCTATTTTCTGTTGCAGAAAGTACATTCCATTCTACCACAGTCCAGGAAGAACACCCGATGAAACCCGATTTTCCATCGGATCGAGTAAGTGCCACCCCGCCTACTTCATCAATATTTCGTTTAAAATATCTCAGTCTAACAACTTAATGAAGTAAAAGCTTAGTTGTCAATTTGGCAGCAATTATTGTCAGCCATCATTGGTGCAACACGTCAAAGAGATGTTTCCGGAATGTCATAGACAAATGTAAAAGGACGAAGGTGCTGTGGTGAAGATGACCAATCTATTTGCTGTTGGTGCGGGTTCCGCACACACATGATTCACGTGCCGTTTATATCAGTGGGGTTCAGGCTACAGGAGCACCTCAATGAGAAAGTCAGAGCTACCCATTATTTGAACATCTTACGATGCAACAAGCATATGTGAGTTCAGCACCAACTTGAAGTATATATTTGTTGCGAGTTCATCAGGAATTGATTTTCACTTAACTGGAACAATATAAATAGAGAAGACAAGAACGTGCTTGCTACTCACCTTCCACATTACGTGTTTCTAGCCCAGTTAAAGATATTTCAAGAAGAAATTTTTATCGAGAAAGTGACATCCACACAGCATCAGTTATTTTTTAGAACTGCAGGAGTAAAAGAAAGAACACCAAGTTTGACGCACAGGGTGTAGATGTATGACGCGTCAAGGTATAGGTGATGTCTAGGACAACAGAAGCGCCAAGAATGCAAAGGATAAATAGCGAAGTAATGTGACTTTTCAGATCAATAACCAGGGCCCACTATTTTGCATTGGTACTTGATCCAATGGTCTATCTGTAATGACAACCAAATGTGGCGTACCGGTGAAAACGAAAACAGAGTAAGGTATGCTAGTCATTATGTGTTCGCATTTCAGTTGTTCATGACATCAGATGTCACCCGGCAGCGCCATATTTTAAGTTGTATATTGAAGACATGGACAAATCGGCTCGAGTACAACGTATACGTTGACTTCATAGCACACAATTTTCTCTTGAAGTGTTGAATCTTTGAACGCTACGATCGCTTAGACAGTAGTGCCTAAGACTAGTAGTTTCGGAGATATGGTATATCACGATGTTTGTTAGGTAAGCGTGAATCAGTCATTGTGAAAAAGTTCATAGGAGGAAAACGTAGACAGAAATGAGAGGAGTACTGCGTAAGTGGTCGCTTTCCACTGTTTATTATTATTTACGGCATTTGCGGACATGATGCACACTAAACCAAACATGATGGCACAAAAACATAGCGAACAAAATCGCGTTAGGATGTATTTATTAGAGTAAATCAACATAAGCTGTCAATCCGACGAACATGAATTCTTTTCTGAACAGTGTCATACATGGTGAGGGTGGTTATACATGCGTGCGCTCAGATTTCAACAAAGCGGTGACTTTCATAAAGCTGCAAGCAAATCCACGTGGAAGGGACGCTGCGCTCGCCAGTGTTCCTTTCGTATTCATCGATTTTTTTTTATTACAGCGCGATTTCGCGCTGTAATCAAAAATACATCCATACCAACTAACCCCACTCTCAATACTTTTGAAAAAGAAAGTTTGTTAGTTGAGCTTCAAGAAAACTTCGTCTTCGTCTACGTATCAACCCGGCACGAACACCTCTCGGCTTGGTGGCGTTATCTGTTCGGCTGCACTGTATGCTAGTGAATGGAATTGCGAAGCTGAATATGACGGCAAGTCAAAGTACGTTGACAGATCATTGAAAAAACAGTCCTGCAGAATCCCGGAAAGCGGTGCACAAGGAAAACACCATGCTTCAGCGATTGAAGTCAAGCCTACGCGAAGCAGCAGTGAACTTTTGATGAGTAACTTCTAATGGGTCAGGCAAGCTTAGCTTAAAAAGCAAAGTTTGTCCGACTCGTGTCGCTTTCACTGTGGATCTAATTAGACACAAAAAAACCCCGCAGGCGGCGGCCAGAGATCATTCGCTCTCCACTCTTCAAGTAGTGTGCCAGATCACACCACTCTATCAGCCAATCATGAGCGTCCCCTTTCTCCGTAGAATAGAAAGCAGGTATTCCTCGCTCCACGCGCGCTGTGCGTTCCTTGTTAATGAAAAATCAGCTGCGCAATGGGTGGGTCATGCTTAGAGCACTTCATTGAACAGGACAGAGCCCTCAAAGGACGACACTGGAGGGGGCTTGTGAACGTGTGCCAGTTCGCCAAGTAATCCAGAGTTCAGCTAAGCAGAATGCAAACACCAGGCCTAGTCACAATTATATGCTTCGCTTAGCTTTTTTCATCACGTTGGCGGAGGTGCTCCAAGTTTTTAGTGCTCTATAAGTGAAAATTTGATTTTAAATAAACTGCAAGTCTGAGTAAAATATGCTGCTTACGAGTTTAATCTTTGCGCGCTGAATAAACAAATAATAAACAGCGCTTCCCCACTTTTCACCGGAGAAGGAAATAAATTTGCAAAAGCTATAAAGCGCCACAGGTGACACATGTTGCACGCATTGAACTTTTTTATAAACTGCGTATCTTAAGGGGAGGAAAAAATGAAATAGTGAAAGATATTCTAGCAGGTATAAACTGTTCAACGTGTTTAGGAGTTCCACTCCTTCGAACAGCAATACAATGAAAGATGGCCCAAGGGATCCAACAATGTGACTTTTTTTGCCTTTTACCCAATTGACAACCCGAATTTTCTATCCTCCCATCAGAGGTAAGCTGGTTTGCGAATCGGTCGTAATTTCTTGGAAAGGAGCCGTAGTGCTGGAAACATAGAAACCAAGAAAGGGGACTGGAGAAACGCGCTACTTGTTCTGTTCCTTGGTCTCTGTTTTTTCAGCGTTGTGCTGTCTTAGAATGAGCAAAACCAACTAGCCCGAAAGTCTGTACTCTTGTGATGACTCTATTTCGCTTATGTTACGGCGTCATGAGAGCTGCAGATTTTCTCCAGCTTGGGCACTTCCACATGGCACCCAGATTGACAGCCTTTACTTTTCCTTCCACATCAGTCGCTAGTGCACAGAACTTTTATAACAAGAGGGACTGGGTGCCTTATACATTCTCCTAAGCCAGCTTGACGACGAAGGCCGCCCGTTGTGGCTACTGACAATGTCATCGTCAGATTATTAGGTCACGGGAGTAGCGGCCCACATTGTCGTTGCTGTTGTTCATGATGATAATGATGATGTTATTCAACTATAGCGTGTCTTTTCTCATGTGTTGGCAATTTTCAACCGTCCGCTTGTTGTGCGATTCACATGGTGTGATCCCTGGTACGTTCGCTTCTTACACGCAGCAACTGTTAACGTGATTATGGTAGACAAGACTACAATATAGGGACTTCTTTCAAAGCTGTTGCAAGCACTAGCGTGGCTGTGCTGTAAATTGTTGGAATGGAGCGAATAATACTTGGGTTTTGTTTTTTACTAAATTCCTTTTTGTGCTATCTTTATTGGGTCGCATAAACTTTTTTACCGCATGCCACGTTTTTTAAAGGTCAGCATTTGATGACGCTCTTATGGCTCTTGCAAATTTAAAATGTCCTGCAGTGCAACGTAACATCTATTACATTACAAGGGGATCATATAAGGTTAATTATTTTATCTGGCGCACCATACAGATGATTCGACAGGCAGTAGAATCACACATAGCTATTCGAACCCATATTAATACGCATGCCTTTTCATGAAACAATAACGCAGCCTTAAAGCAATATTGCAGACTTAAAGAAAACTCACCAATTCACATGCCTTGTGATTCGTCGCAGAAAACCGTCCTCGTGCAATTGGCCACTTCCTCTACACCGACTACATGAACTGCGCTATTCTAGAAATACCATACCACGGGGATCGTAAGTATTCCTCTTGATTAATTGTGTAACGAGCATTTATTCACGTATTTATACACACTAAATAGCTTTCATCCGCATTAATTGGACTGCAAAAATATCCCTTTAATGGCGGCAAGATGGCAAGTTGGGCCAGTTGGTTTACAGTAATGTTAGGAAATTTGGTTGAAATACACCATAACGCACAAACTAAAAGCAGACAGGACATCGCTTACAAGAAGCGTAGTCCTGTCTTCTTTTGCTCTATGTTTTTGGTGCACTTCTGCCAATTTTTTTTTACCTTTTTCAATAAGTCTGTATTTCAATGGCTACTTAGTTGTGATGATGTGATTCTGTTGTTTCTTCTTTTCTGTCCGAGTTGTCTGGCACTCCCTAACTTGATTAGGAATCCGCCTTAACACTCCATAATACTTTACCAACTATGCATGAAGTATGAAATACGAGCAAGAACGCGAGTGTGAGCCTGAAATAATCAGCTGCACTCTTCAGCTGCACTCCTAAATTACTGATGTAAACCTATACGACAGTGAAAAAGAAGCTTCCTCGAACAATATATCACACAATTGTTTCACAGTAAGGTTGTCATCCCGTCAGACTTGATGCATCATCCGGCAAAAAGAGCGTTCCACACTCGGCGTCATGGCTATGGTTTTAGCACACTTTTAGCAATACACGTGCAGACATACCTAACAAAGTGGACGGGAAAACACCGTCTGTGGTAGCTAAAGTGTGGTACACGTTTTTAGGAGGTTGTAAGCCGGTGTTCCAGAAGTTGCAAAAGTGTTTATTCGTCCCCTTTATTTATTTGCATTCATGTCATAATTACTGTACTGCAGTTGTAAGGTACAATTACCTTTCCTAAGCTTTTCATGCTGCGAGTGTTTTGGTACGTCATTACGTTAGGTAGATGAAAAAAGGACCCCTTCAAATCTACCTCTTGCAATACTAAAATAAGAAAAAAATTTATTCAGGGAGACATCGTAATATGCCGATGTATTATCAACAACAGCTGGACTACGTTCTCTGTTGGACAAAGGCCTCTGCCCTGCTCCGTCAGTGAACTCAGTCTTTTGCTAGCGGCTTTCACATTATACCCGCAAACTTTCTAATCTCTTCTGCCCTCCTAACTTTTAGTCTCTCCGTAAGTCACTTGCATTTTCTGGGAATTCACTCAGTTACCGTTAATTATAAGCGATTATCACGCTTACGCACTACATGGCCGGTCCATGTCCATTTATTCTTGATTTAAACTATGATATCTTCATCCCCGGTTTGTTCCCTGACCCACTCTGCTGACTTCTTTCATCTTAAGATTGCATCTATCATCTTACTTTCAATCGCTTGCTGCGTCGTCCTCAACTTAAAGGGACACTAAAGCAAATAACAATTTACGTCAGAGTGAAAGCTCAATGTATTACCACATGTAAAATGACAATATCATCAACAGTGCCCTACTCGCCGAGAAATTAAGGTAAATGCACAAGAACGCAAGCGCCGCAGTAGGACATCTTCAAAGTGATCCTGATGACATCAGACAGACCGCCTATATTTATTCACTAGTAATCGATCCAATGGCATTAAATAAAGAATCTTCCGTACAGCGAGAGACGCAATAAAATGCTGCTCGTTTGTTTCTGTTTGATTCATGGAAAAAAGAACCGCCGCACGCTTCTGTGGGGAACGGCGTGAGTGGTTCAAAAATTCGATTTTCGTGTGGTTACACGGGACAGATTGTGCCATCTAGCGGGGCGCAGTTGAAACAAAAGCGTCTGCAATTTCAAAGCGAATGGCGGGAAATGGATCAATGGCCGCTGTTGCTCCTGTGGCTCCCGCTGCTTTCGGTCCGCTGCTACTAGCGCAGTAAAGCGGGGCAACGTTGTGGACGGCAACAGTGACGTGAGACGGTCCGGTCAGTCCACTTCTTGGGGCGGGTGATTTGAAACGCGCTAACCCGATTTAAAGCACTAAAACGTGATTTTATTTTAAAATAGGCCCAATTGGCACGAAAGTAGCAATACGAGGTTTCTGGACCACTATTTCAACAATCAACGTCGACTAAATAATTGGCTGTGTTCTTTTAGGCTGAACCTTCATTGTAAGCTTCCAGGTTTCTGCTCCGTAGGTAAGTACGAGCAATATGCCGCTGTTATATACCTCTCTTTTGAGAGAGAGAAGAAACTTTTAATGAAGTGTCGCTGCTGGGGTCAAAGGGTGCAGTGGGCCGGGAGACCCGCTCTCTCAGGCGGCGGCCAGGCCTTGAATCCTGGCAGCATCTTTGGCCAGTCGCACAACCCAGAGCTGGTCTTTCTGGAACATGCTGAGTAGCATAGTCTCCATGTACTAAGCCGTGGGGATATGGAATGTAGAGTTCATTTTATGGCGTGAGTAGCTGAGTCCCATGATGTGATGGATAATAGCAATCTACCAATCATAATTTGAGAATGCTTGCCGAACGTGCTCACCCCCCCCCCCAATTTTTTATCTTCTGGTTACTTCAATCTCGTGGTTTGCATACGCGTTTACTACCTGTCCTAAATAGACGTACTCTTTCACAGCATCAAGTGAACTGCTACCTATTTTAAAACACTGTTTTGTTTGAAGGTCGTCGTGCATTAATTAGTGTTCTGCAGATTATTTTAAGGCCCACCTTTCTGGTCTCCTTGCCTAAATCAGTAACCGTGAATTGCAATTTGTCCCCTGATATAGTCAGCAATGCAACATCATTGGCGAAACGCAGGTTACTCATCTACTCTTCATGCACTATTATGCCTAGCTGTTTTTATTCTAGGCCTTTGAAAGCCTCCTGTAAGCAAGCTGTAAATATCGGTAAATGTCCGCTCGTCTTACACCCTTCTTTATTTGTAGCCTGTCACCTTCGTTATGGAGCACTATGATAGCATTTGCTGATCTGTTTGATTATTCAAAAATGTTCATTTACGGTGCATCGCCGCCCTCATGTGCAGGTGTACGGAGTGTAAAAATAAACACCATGCCTGCGCTGAAGGTACAGCACACAGTGGAAGCTAGACGAGTGGAATTTGGGAGCCTTTTTTAAACACTTATTGAATAACTGCTCTAAGCCCATTTGCTTGATAACCACTACGGCCTTAATATTAGAAATTTTTATGTAGTATTCTTGCATTTGCTGTGCTATTTTTTGTCATTTTTCTGAGAAGCGAGGTATTCGCTAAACACTTGCAAGTAATTTTGCGCCAATTGTTCATGCAGTGGCTGAGGACGATGAGGAATTATGGCTGAGGTGGGTATGCGCCACAGTTATTAGAGTAACAAGAGCAAGCTCTTGTAAAAGGTTGAAACGTTTAACGACACATGCGTTACGATATTCGCATTGTGTGACGGCTGGTTGTTTTTTCGCTATTTTACAACGCTTTTTGAGTCGTATTAACGCGATTGCTTTCCCGGCATCAAGCCTGCTTACAGCAAGTTTGCTAAGAAGCCCCAAGTACCGGTGTGTCACCTCTTCTATTTGCACTTTACCTAGAACCACTGTGCTTAAGCATAATGCAGTCGCGTTGCATTCGTGGCTTCAGTATATGAGGCAGTGAAGTTAAGGTATTAGCTTATACACACGATGTCGCATTCTTTTGCGCAGATAAGCCAAGTGTCGAAAATGTGATATACACTATTGAAGAATTTGGCGTAGTATCAGGAGCTCGTTTAAATGCCTCTAAAAGTTTAGGACTGTGGTTTGGCTTGTGGGGTAGCACACCAAACCACTTTGCAGGGATTAATTGGACAAAAACTCTTCCAACATACCTTGGTGTACCATTGCATGCGTATAGATTCAGTGCGCATTACTGGAAGGAATGCGTCCCTAAGCTTGAACGACCGGCCCAGACATTTGTTCCCTATCGACTTTCAATCTTTGAGAGAGCTGAAGCTTGCAATACTTTCTTAGCAATAAAGATTTACTATGTATTGGAACTTATTCATTGCGCAAGATTCTATATACAATTCTTTCATTGGATTTTCGATACTTTCATATGGTCTTCGACTTTTGAGCCCATGCGTCGTGATAACGTATTCGAGCCAGTAAGTGAGGGTAGGTTAGGATTAAAACACCTTTATCTATGGCAAATAGTGTCACGATTCTTCTTTTTTTGAGACAATTTCCATCCTGTAATCCGTTCCTTCTTGCAGGTTACACTTGTTGATTGCTTACCAGATTTAATTGTTTCATCAAACTTCTCCGAACGCCCATGCTTGTGGGGATTCATGCAGGAAGTGTACCTCGCAGTTGAGTTCCATTAAGCTCGCTTTTCTGTAGAATACCAGTACACAGTATCGCGCAAGGTACCGTATAAGGATCTACTGAGTACACTCTTCCCACCTCTGTTGTACCGCTCACTGTACTCCAATCTTCTAGGCCACGATATGTTGAAGCAAGTGCGCAAAATGTACATTCCACTGAATTCAAAAACATTCTTCTCTAAACTCCACTCTGAAACATTAGCGGCAAACACGTGGTTAAAAAGAAAGGGTTTTTTTATTCCGTCTGTTAACTGCTGCCTATTTGATGACTCGGAAACGATTAAACATTGCTTTTTTAGCTGCAAAGATGCCATACTACTTTGGGATGTCCTTCAGCGAGCACTAAAAAATGTTGCGCCAATAATTCTCACACAATGCGTTATCTTCTACCAGCAGCGCTTGATGAAGTGCCATATGGTATGTTTTTCCTCATGGTTATGCACAGCTTGTGGAAAACACGAATGCAAGACCGCAATGCAGAGCCCACCACCTCTTCAAGCACAAACTTCATTCAAATGGTTATCTACCTCAAAAACATTTACGACCAACCAGACTTTAGGCCGGAGTGGTACTCTATCTTAGAGAGCTGTTTGACTTCACTCCATTTTTGTTTGAATAACACAATGTGAAGAACTCTCCATGTGAGGAACTCACGCTGTGTTAGCCAATGAGTGTCTACGAGTAACGCTTGAGCGCTTATTTTCGCGATTTTTGTACTTTTTCGCTTGATT